CCCCCCCCCCCCCAATCACTAGCTGCAGTCACTCACAGCAATGTGTTGGACTCTGGGTCTCTAGCCTGCCAGAGGACAGCACAGATGCAGGGGTATCACTGTTTTACTACAACTAGCCTGCAGTGCTGCAGATAGAACAGTGAGGCTCATTGCTTAGACGTGGAAGAACTGAAAAGGAACACCCCTTTATTTCATGTATTCTATATGCTCAGTTAACTGCTCACATTTGTGCAGACATGTATGGCGTACAGAAAGAGAAAGTGACATAAATACAATGCATAAGAGACAGAAAGTAAACACATGAGGCAGAGGAAAGGGTACTGAGATGTGGCAGGGTTTAGGACTAGTCAATATAGTTTGAGCCTTTTTATCAAATCAAATAGACTTTATAAGACCATGATGCTGCTCCCACAGGCAGAGAGTTCTTAAATATTTCCCATAAGAACTAAATGAAATTATAAGAATAAAGATCAAATAAGATCAAAAGCAATTTTGAGTAACCGTTATACGTCTTCCAAGTGCAAATTAGTATTAATCCAGAATCTATCTGAAATAAAAGTAAAATAAAAAATAAAAAATAAAAACAAAGACTGCATATATTGACATTGTTGAAGGAAGGTTTTGAATGACCCATTTTATTTTCTAGATATGCTTATATGATTCATATTATTTTCATAACTAAGAGATATTCATTTTAATCAAAGAAAAATGATTGTGTTATGAATCAGAGAGCAACACACAGAATGTCACTGTTATTTTCTGTAAGTTTCTGTCTAAGTGAGAAACACGTTGCTGTCAATGGTTCTTTCCCAAGAACTATGTCTTATTTAGCCAGATCCTCCTTTCAGCATAAGTCTACTGAAACAATTAAAGGATTTTTTTTAAGAGTAAAGGGTATAGTTTATTTTTTCAAAAAAATCTTTATCCTTCTCTGTATCCAAGGACAAAACAGGCAGGTGTCCTCTGTGGTGTCCTGTGTAACAGTTTACCATCATGTGCAACTAAAACACATCAAAGCAAATATGTCAAGGAAGCAATGACAGAGTTTTCTTTCTTAAATTAGGTCTTTAAGAGACCATATTAGGTGTTATGCCTTTGCTTTCTGTCAGTAAACCAATCTTGCCATACAAGTTTACAGATGTTGTGTGGTGCTGCCATCTGCTGGACTGCGGGTAACGTCACCAAACGTGTGTGTGTTTGGAAGACTAGTATCCAATAGCATCAATGTTTTGTTACTTTTTTTTTTTTAACATTTTCTTTCAGCATCTGAAAAATTAAGAATATGTTATAAATTAATAACACGTTAAATGTTTATTGCGTGTCAAAAAAAAAGCAGTCAAAAAGCAGTTAACATGTAAATAAAAATGATTCAGACGTAGCGTGAATCATTACTCTGTGTTTGTGTGTATGCGTAACATTATGTCACAGAAGTGCATTGCTGTCATAAGTAATAGACCTTTACTGCCCTGCAGACGTTCTGACGCGGCACAGCAAGACATTTAATAAATGAATGACGGCTGCATTCCATTTAAGTGTGCCACCTGGAATCGTACATGCTTGCATAGTTTGGAATGAAGCCATCGTTAATGCGATTAGGTAACCAATGCTTCTCCTGCTGAGACACATCAAACTGCAGAACTTCCCTCAACTCTTTACCTCTTCCTATTAGTGGTGGTAAATACTGGCTACTTACTCCAGACTGAAGCAATAAACTATGACACTATGAACAGTGATTCCAATATTATGTCCTATATGTTTAATACAATAATCTACTAACACAGTAGTGTGTCAGTCTTTCTTGTGGAACTTTCTATCCTCTCCCAACCCTGATTGTATCCATTTGCCATTTGCATCCACACATTTGATTATAATGCAGTAGTGAAACACAGTTACCAAGACCACAGAAGATAACAGGAGGAACAACTAAATGATCCGTTTGAACCCCATCAACATTATCCATCTCCATTATGTTGCACATTACTAACTATGCCAATATTCCAGATAAGATTATAATAGTCTGACCATTGGATTCAATAGGGCTTCAACTTAAAAGCACAGGCATTGATACAGTTAATTAATAATGGCTTGTATTGAGCTGCTTTCAAGGACCTACGTTAATATTGTGCATGTTAGCTCACTTTCACATCGTACTGGGACATTTAAACAGTTTTTCTTTACTAACATGTGATTTGCTACTATGACAAGTCAAAATGTCTGCTGTGAAAAAGGCTTTTTTAGTTTAGGAAATGTGAGCAATCATCTAGTGGGCAGCAGACTGACAGGTGTTAAAAAGGGAATATCATGCAACTCCCAATCATTCATAGAGCAATGAGGCGAAGTAAAACCCTGACTATTCAGTCCGTCCATTTAACGCCACTGTTAATAGTTATAACGGGATGAAAAACGACAACTAAGTGACCTGATTAGACGATTAACGAAGGTAGAAAATGCTGAAAGCAACTGTGAGCGGCTAGCAGCAGAGACAAGGACAAACACTGTCCTTCCATTAAACTGTCAACACTTACCGAGGACCCATGGCGACTGGAAGAGGTGTCTGACATGCTCCTGCCACGGCTGTGTGGCCCGTAAACATTTAGTAACCCGAGATAATCTGAGGCCAAATAAAACCCCTTGACGACCCAGACGCAAGGAGGCCGCCATGTTGTCGTCCTCCGTCCGTGAGACGCGCCCGTGCAGACGCCTGACGGTAAAACAACGGCGATGGGGGAAAGGCAGCATGACTTTAAAATTAGATTTATTCTTGTTTTAAAAAATATATCGGCGGTGATTTTGACCTATTTAAGACTCGTATTTGAAAAATGTTTTTATTGATTTATTAGAGGATAGAATAGCAGGCTAAAAGGAAGTAAGCCTTTTAGGTCTTTAACGACGGGCCCTAATATGCTGTTGTTCGGCTGTGTTGAAACGGTCGACCATCCGCAGTGCGCAGTGATATAGCTGACCTCCCGTGCTGGGGGATGTTAAAGCTCCTGTACAGATTCAGATTTCAGATTCAGATTGCAGAAATACTTTAATCATCCCAGACGGGAAATTATATTCGTTAATACGCTCCAGATACAATATGAACATATTACAGCCACAACATAAATATAATATAGCAAATTCAACAGCAAAAAATAACTAAATATATACATATGTAACTATATTATCCGTTATACTATATATAATATATAGTAACTACAGATCAATATACAGTAATAATAAATGTTCAAAAGAAGTGCAAAAGAATGATAAATGTATATAATTTTGAGTCAAGAATTTAAGAGGGGTGTCTGACTCTCTGAGGGAGGCGTTGTAGAGATTGAATGGACCCACAGGGCAAGGAAATGATTTCCTGTTGGGGTGATTGGTGCATTCTGGGTGAAGTAGGAGTCTTCTGCTGAAGGAAGCTCCTCTGCTTGGCAGTGTGTCGTAGAGAGGGGGTGTGCAAGCATTGTCCAACGATGGACTTGAAAGCCTGGACAGGCATCCTCGCTCTCCTGCCACGGTCCGTCAGACGTGCGAAGCTCCTCCCCCACGACGATCACGGCCTCCTGATCAGTTTGGTTAATGTCCTGTTGTGTTTTCTTGCGACCTTCAGCCCGCTGCCCAGCATTGGTAAACAGCGAAGAAAAGATCGTACTGGCCACAACAAGACTCGTAGAAACCATCCCCTCAAAGCATAAAAGTTCCGGCAGATTGTTTTAAAGGACCTCAGCCTCCTCAGGAAAAAAGAGTCGGCCTTTGCCTTTTTTTTTTTGTTAGACAGCCTTCGGTTTGGTTTCCTTAGGTCCCAGTCCCAGTTTTTTTATTATTTAAAGTCACCACCCCAAGGTATTTATACTCCCTCCACAGTGGTCCAACAGTGACCTGGATGGAAACCAGGGGTCACCAGGTGTTTTGCCCTCCTCCAGAATCCACCTATGAAGCTCCTTAGTCCCTTTTGTCCAAATTTGAGCTGCAGATGTTCCGCCTCAACTCCAAGTTGACAAAGTTTGCCCACAACAGTTCCTAATAATTCACTCTCAAAATCCACCCTTCAATCAGCCCAACTAATTGCTGTACAATTGTTTTAAGTTAATGAAATGGAAATGTAAATTGTTTGGACAAAATTAATTAATGCGGGAAATGGGCTTTTGAAATTAAAAAATAAAACTACTATTACCTGGTATAAGTTTTAAACAATGTTTCAGTAAAACAAATATACTAATCTGACCGATATACTATTACGTTTAGACACCTGGTTAAATCCATCTGTTGTAGATTACTACAAACTTT